GCTTTGAGGCACAGCTACTGTCAACGTGCATGGTCATCAGTGCAGAGTGTGTAGAAGTGACTGCTGACAGGTGTAGACACTCACAAAGGTCTACTAGTTGATACACTGATGGCAAACAATGCATGACTGTCTCGTCTCTCATAGTACGCTCACACAAACGGAGGGCCTAGTGGATACACCAATGGCAAACAAAGCGTGGTTGTGTGTGTGCCTTTCTTTGGCCATGATCGTGAATTCACACACTTGAGTGTACAATGTAGGCCACTGAGACCATCCTAATCGAAAACGAGAGAGTGGGGAGAGACGTCTCCTTCTGACAGCGCCCTTGAGCAGGGGGTGGGGATTGTGGGCTTGTGGCCGGGTGGGCGAGCTCGCCAACTAACCAAAACTTTGCCGCTGCCACTAAACCGATGAGTGCCCCCAACTCATTCGTCCTAATCACGAATCTAACATCTAACATTTATGAAGTTGCAATTCGATCATTGTGGGGTTTATTCTGGCAGCAATGCATGAAACCTATCAATCCAGTCAGTCACTGCAGATTGAAGGATAATATTGTATTAGAGGAAGACCACAGCGCACCCTTACCTGATACGAGTCTTGATTTACAATTCAACAGAACTCCAGTGTGCTACATACATCGATTCACTTTGAAATTACAAATATCTACGTACGTATGGTGCAAATTATTTCACATGGAATTCTGACCTCATTTTTCTGTTTTTTTTTGTCAGAAAAATGTTCAAGACATCATGCAGGTCCTGGTGGTACACACTCACTCGAGCAAGAATTCTCCACTGGCATAATGCGCAACCAGAGAAGAATGTACACATCTGTCTCTGCACGAAAACGGATCCCCCCAGGCCAGGCCCCAGCACAAGGAAGCCGGCATCTGAAAGCTTCGCATGGCGACTGCTATTGACAAACCCTAGCCAGTAGCTAGCCACAGGGTAGCAAGCGGCTGAATACTCACAAAGCACATTGCCTAACTATTCAAAAGGTAAACACCTGTTACTTTTTATATAAGGTAAACACCTGTGACCTGTTCTTTGATTGTGAGTTGTGACTTTGCCAGGGCAGCTGGTACACTGCTTCATACTAATCTACTGACATCTGATGAGGATGAAAGAGTGCAGAAATGCATATATCAAATTATCCAACCTGCGGTTCCAGATCTTCTATTCTTCTCTACACAACACACTAACAAAGATTATGGTACATTTGGAAGGCAAGGAATGTGGACTTTCAGTCAGATGCCATGAAACCATGGCCGATGTACATGGAACAAACTCCTTTTTTTACAGATGATGAACAGGCGCCAAAACAAATGAAACAATCTGGTGATGATGAGCTAACAAGTGGAAACCGTCAAGACTGAACCCATAAGGAGCTGTTCGGCTGATGGTTTCTGCATGGTCCATGGTTACAGGTCAACTACCATAATTGGAAGAATCGCAGGACTGTTACAGCTCCAAGACACAACTACATGTCTGACAGTCAACTGCCAGAGAATGCCACCAACAATCCTGGCTCAAAGGCTCTACTAAATGAGTTCACACAGCTCAATGAAGGAATCCAACATGTGCAGAAAATAGTAGACACAATTAAAGACAGTACACAGATTAGCTACTCAGGCTAGGAACTCCAACAGTTCTCATGAATGCATATTTCCCTTCTCAAATGTAAGCCATGCAAACAGATGCCCAATCAAAGAGGCATTAGTGCATTACATCATGTAAAGTGTAGAATGGAATCATCTGGACCTCATTGATGTAAGCTGCCATTAAAATTAATGCAAGTTACCTATCACAAAAACAATTTACAAATTTTTATTTATCACTATTTTATCATTCTTCTTAAAATGACATCTTGTTCTTATTATTTGAAAAGCAAAAAAAAACATGTATTATGATAACATAGGTATAAGCTAATCTTACTAGTTTCAAACATATCATGGTCAAACTTGACCATGTATTGTGATATCAAAACAAAAGGAACACCAAGTGCAGCATCAAATTAACGATCAAATGTAGCACTAAGATGAATATAACCAACATTTCCAATCCAAAACAAAGTGTATGATAGTCCCTCTCTGTTCTGTACAAGCTCCACTTTTATGTGTCACCACAGCTCGGTTGAAGTGGTTACAACCGCAACTTTAACACTGGGTGTGACTTGAGAGCATGAGAATAGATGCTGCTGCTGTTCAAAACTTGTAACATTGGGTTACTTTACATTCAGTAGTAAGGTCATTCTATCATGATTGACACCCCACATGCCTCAACTCATGACATTCAATTTGCAAAAAGTCAGATCACACCCAAAGACATTTCATCAATTGTCATTTAATTACATGCTTACACTCAAGTTTCCAGTCCCATGCAGTGAATTACCTGAAAGATATTTGGTTCACCTGCAGTAGGTACGAGAAACTGGGGAATAACATTTTTTTTTTTCATCTTATAAGCAAAGAGAGCAAAAAAATAGTGGGATTCTTACTCTGCAAGTGATTATTACTGAGAAACATCGCAAAATAGATTGCTGCTGAACATATAAGAAATATTTACTTGAACAGAACCAACATCCATGTCAGAATGCTTCATCATTGATTGCCAGAAGACCCAGTACCAGTGGTTTAAATCATAACTGTTAACATGCTTGCTCAACTTTACACAGGTACACATTAACACTGCAATGCAACAATATAATATGCTACTCTATAATTGTAATCAAATCAGCATGCAAATTGAATATGACATGCTAGATGTCCTGAAAGGTAACTTATTGAAATATATGGGGGCTGTTGACTTGTTGGTATGAGAAACCTCAATGGATTAGTACATCAAAGTATCATTCTATAAATTTTACTCAGATGACACAAATCCTTGTTTTTATACTAAGTACTCTAAGCTTATGAGTATGACGAATGACTTAATGAAGCAATAGTCTTGGGGACCAAAACTAGGGTACCCGAAGAGGAGCTAATGATCATCAACATTGATTCGTCCGCGCGATCAAGAGTGCGACTACGCCGCTTGGCGGGCTCCGCCTCGTCCAGCCACCGAGGCCATGGGCCCTGCCTCATCTGACCCCCGAAGGTTGGCTCCGCCTCGGTGGGCGCTGCAGCCGCGAGCCCCACCTCGCCCGACCCCTAAGGGCTGGCTCCGCCTCGCCCAACGTTTGAGGGCTGACTCCGCCTCGCCCGACGTTTGTGACGACATTACAACAACACGCGACTCCTGGGCCGGCCCAGATACCTAACGACAAGCCGGAAGAGCGATCCAGTCCCCAACCAGAGGGCCAGGCCAAGGAGGGGACGACGCCCGCTTCCGGCTCCGACCCGCTTTTCCGACCGGGAATACACGCGAACCTCTGTTTACAGCTCTTCTTCAACCGACACGGTCGGAGCCGACTGGATAAGGACCCAGGAATCAGGCGGAGCAGATAAGGCAAGGCGCTCAAGTCAACCGCAATACCGAGGACCGTACCCTGCACACCTGCAGGACAGTATCGTCAGGCCATGCCAGAAGGGTGCTTTGCAACCTTCCAGGCATGTCAGAGCCCAAACAGTGTTGTAGGCGTCGATATTTGTCTTACAGTGTTGTGGGCGCCGTCATTTGCCCTCGGGCACGATCCTTACAGAAGCTCACGACAACCACTACGGTCCAGAAGGTGTGACCTAAGGTCAAACTTCTGGAGTCGTGCAGGGAGCGATCATATCTCAACACGACCCGTCCCCGCAACATGTCATTCCAGGGAACTCACATCGCCCACAGTGACGGACGCGTGGTCACTGTGTTGCATACTCTCTGTATGGCTGCTAATCAGTACGCTGGTTCACCGCGCCGCCCGCCGGGGTGGAGTGAGACGTGACGACCTGCTGACAATGCCAGGACATAGCATTGTCAGCGGACAGGAGCCCGGCGTGGCCCTGTCATGGTCAGTAGACAGGCGCCCGGCGTGAGGCTGTCCCTATCACCGCCTGCCATATCAGCGGGGCCCGCACAGAGGAAAAGAAAGATCCGACAACCCTGAAGGACTTCATTTGCCTCTCGTTTTCCTCTTTTCTCCCATCTGTAACACATGCTCTCCCTTGGCATATAAAAGGGAAAGCAAGGCACCCCACTAAAGGGGATTGATTCACAACATCACACATCACACTGCATCACAGCAGAACCACTAGCATCAAACCTCGAACACATAGCTAAGCAGTGACCGAGCTCTCGGCACCCATTCGATCTTTCCACCAGAGACTTGGGACTTGTCCCTCTCTCGCCCGTTTAAAACCCCTACTACGAACTTTTCAGTGCTAATAACACGAGCAGTAGCCACGAACTAGACGTAGGGACATTCTGCCCGAACCAGGTGTCTTTTTAGCACACCATTCGGGCCAGACACGTAATAATACAAATTTACTCGTTGGTGTTTACTCGAAACACCGACAAATAGTGGACCAACACGTCCCATTTCGCCAACCAAACACCCAATAGACACATCAAATAAAGCACAAAACAGAGATATTATGTGAACATATTACTAAAAGATGTTGAAACTGGAAAATGAACCTTATCATGGCTAGTTTTCAGTACAAGCAACAAATTACAAATGTTATAGTCTTTGACAAAGGAAGAAGATGTGGATTAGATATTTAAATCCAACCCCAAAAGTGAAACCCATCAAATGCAGGTTCCAATGGAACTACTCAAAAACATACGAGTAATCAACTTGGTGCAAACATATAGCAATATTTGCAGTATGTCTATTAATTATATCCTTGAACACACTTATACAGCTGCATGTTCTGCTTAGCCTTTCAGGTAAATTCTTTCTTTTTTTCTTTCTTTTTTGTTGTTGCTGCCACCATCAGAGCACTAATGACTCTTGGTGCCCACATCCATCGGATCAACCCTTGTCGTTGCACGTCCAGCATCCATGGGAGCAATGGCTGCCTCCTCTCCAGATAATAGCACACCTCCAGCATCCATCGGAGCAATTGGTACCTACTCTCTTGACACTACCAAACATCCAGCATCTGCAGGGCCATTGTCTATCCCCTCAACCAAAAGTACACCTTGAGCTTTTGCTTTCTTCCCTGACACAAGATCCCCATCTTTTTCAGGCCCATCTTCTGTCAAGTCCCTAGACACCTCAACTGCAGTTTCCACAGACCCAGTTTCAAAAGGCCTGGCCTTTCTTGGCCTGCCACGCCCTCGCTTCTTCACCAATGCATCACCTTGGGTTTCTGCAGTTTCAGTTTCCAATGGCTTCTTTCTAGGTCGCCCACGACCTCTCTTCTCCATCAAAGGAGTACCAAAGGATTGCAAAATCCTAGCTTCAACTTCATTTTGCATAGGCCCACCTTGGTCTACAGCTTGTGCAGGCAGAGCTTCATGTTGACCCTCAGTCATCTGTGCAACTTTCAAGTCCCCAGTTTCCAATGTCTTCTCCTTTCTTGGCCTCCCACGGCCTCTCTTCACTGTGGATGCAGGAACCCCTGCTTCTGCAGTTTCGGTTTCCAGCGGCCTCTTTCTAGGACGCCCGCGGCCTCTCTTCTCTGTAAAAGAAGTACCCAAGGATTGCAAATCCCCAGCTTCAACTTCATTTTGCACAGCCCCAGCTTGGTCTGCAGCTTGTGCAGTCAGAGCTTCCTGTTGACCCTCAGTCATCTTCTTCTCTGTCAAAGAAGTACCCAAGGATTGCAAAATCCTAGCTTCAACTTCATTTTCCATAGGCCCAGTTTGGTCTACAGCTTGTGCAGGCAGAGCTTCATGTCGACCCTCAGTCATCTGTGCAACTTTCAAGTCCCCAGTTTCTGAAGTCTTCTCCTTTCTTGGCCTCCCACGGCCTCTCTTCACAGCTGATGCAGCAACCCCTGCTTCTGAAGTTTTGGTTTCCAACGGCCTCTTTCTAGGACGCCCGCGGCCTCTCTTCTCTGTCAAAGATGTACCCAAGGATTGCAAATCCCTAGCTTCAACTTCATTTTGCACAGGCCCAGCTTGGTCTGCAGCTTGTGCGGTCAGAGCTTCCTGTTGACCCTCAGTCATCTTCTTCTCTGTCAAAGAAGTACCCAAGGATTGCAGATCCTTGGCTTCAACTTCATTTTGGACAGCCCCAGCTTGGTCTGCAGCTTGCGCAGTCAGAGCTTCATGTTGACCCTCAGTCAAGTGTGCGGCTTTCAAGTGGCTATTTTCCAATGACTTCTCCTTTCTGGGCCTCCCACGCCCTCTCTTAGTCAATGAAGCATCCACGGACTGCACAGATTCAGGTTGCATCTTCTCTTTCCCACCAACCACACTGTTACTACAGGCAGATATGTTCATGGAGGAACCACGCAAAGCACTAACATCAACAGCAACCCTGAGCGGCCGGACAGGCTTACTCTTACCACTGTGGGGCACGGTAGCAGGTTGCCCACCAGCAGGTCCCTGCTCAACTCCCACCAACGGCGCCACAGCGGGGTAGGCATTCTTGCGCGGGCGTCCGCGCCCCCGCTTGACCCCAGACGGAAGTGGTGGAGCAATACATCCCAGTAGCTGTGAAAAGGAGGAACGCACAGGGACAAGGGCGCTCTTCCGAGGGCGTCCGCGGCCCCTCTTGACCCCTGATGGAGGCGGTGGATCAATCGCTCCCGGCAGTGGCGAAGAAGAGGAAGGCGGAGGGACAAGGGCGTCCTTCCGCGGGCGTCCACGCCCCCTCTTGACCCCAGATGGAGGCGGCGGAGCACTTGCTCCCGGCAGCGGCGAAGGAGAGGAAGCCACCGGGTCTAGGGCGTTCTTGCGCGGGCGTCCACGCCCTCGCTTGGGGCCCTGAAACGCCGGAACCAAAGCGGAAGGGGCTAAATCTGGGTTCTTGCGAGGCCGCCCCCGACCACACTTCTGCCCCGGAGCAGGCTGCTGAGTGGCGGTGGAGACGAAGTAGTTGCGAGAGACGAGGCGAAGTTGGCCATGGGACCTGAGGCTGCGGAGATGGACGGAGAGGAGGGCGTCGTGGCGAGAGTGGAGGCCGGAGAAGTGGTCGGCGATGTAGTTGGCGATGGCGGTGCGGCTCGACCCGCCCGGGTCCCGCAGCTCCGTCAGCGCCTGCATGATCATCTGCGCGCGCATCCGATCCAAACCATCGATCGAGATGCAGCAGCAAGATTCAGTGTTCACTCCAACGAACCGAGGAGGGAGACGGAGAGCGGCTACGATGGAACAGGGAAAAAGGAAGCTTACCTCCTTGTATGTCGGATGGAGACGGCCGGCGGAGGGTGCCGGTGCCGCCGACGAAGGCGACGCGACGGCAACCACCATTTCACCTTGGATCCGCTAGGCTGCTGCTGTTTCTTCTCTCTTGCTTTTCCCCTACTACTCTACTGGGGATTGGGGAAATGGGGAAATTGGGGATCTCCCGTCCTGACTGCGTGACGGCGTAGGGATAGGAGGAGAGCGGTGCCACGCGGGTGATGCGAGCAGCCGAAGCCGCCGATGCCGACAAGGGGCGTGATTGGTCTACGACACCAGACCAGGCTACACCATTGGTTGGTTGGACTGCACTTTGAGTCGGGCTAATGGGCCGCCTAGCCTGGCTCTTGTTTCTAGCGGGCCTGTCCAGCGCTCGGCAAAAGTTTGACTCGGCAAGTGGAAGTTTGTCCGAAGATTGTTTGGTTTGGCCTAAGTTTGACACGTCTAATCTTAGCCAACTTATAGTTTCACAGAAAATGTGACGAGTAAAATAAAAAAAAAAACATACTTGTGGAGTTTAGCAAGAATTGAGTCCATGACATGTGAAACAGGGTGCTTAAAAGTGTGGTGTGCCATATCACGATAATGAACCAAACATACATCTTAGAAACTGTAGCAAGTCTAACTTACAGCTTGGCAAGCTATGGCCATCAAGCAAACAAACCAATTCTTTCCCCACACTATAATAGCCACCATGCTATTCCAAGGACGGCCTCATTCTTCATCGATCGATCCGCTTAACCCCCTCTCTTTTGTCTTCTCTCCCGGTGTCGAAGACAAGAGGGACGCCCACCTCCTCATCGTGTGGACCCTGTATAGTTGTAGACATCATTCGCCTAAACAACCATTTAGCTTATTTACACACGTTTAAACTCTGCACGGTATTCCGTTTCCACTTAATCGACCATTTATCTCGTTTATGTGGTCGGTTTGCCTGTTTAAATGGTCATTTAGCCTGAATAATGGCTAAACATCATGTGACTAACCGTTTACAGTTTAGGATAAAACTGGTTATAGATATATGTCTACTAGCTTATATTTCCCAAGAGCTCCTTGGCTCCTAGGTTATCGTGTATGGTTGGTTTTCTCTTGCACTTCTCCAATGGCAGCGGCGACGGCGTTGGTACCACCTCTGACGATGGTCCCAGAAGGTTCATTCTGCTCTACTTTGATGTGTCCGGGATGGAGCTCATAGGTTCCACCTCGATTGGGTTTTGCTTCTAGGGTATTGCTAGGCAGAGATGGTGGTGACGCTATTGGGACCTATTGAAAGTGCATCTAGCCCTTTAGTGGGTTTTGGATGATTGAATGACAACGTGATTAAAGGTCTAACCCGTTTACTAAGTGTGGACAGGTAATAGGTTATCTCATAGGTACTTAATGAAAGCCAAAATGATGTGTTGTTGTATAAACAATCTAGTTCAAGCACAAGACAACAATGCAAATGAAATTCATGCAAAGGCTTATTTATTGTGGGATTTTCATGTACTGTGTGAAAGCAAGCTCGTAAGAATTAATTAATGAGACATGAGGGATTGCATATAGAATGGTCTCATATTTGAAGCTTGCTAAATTGAAATGAAAAAGATAACAATACAAATAAATGGATGATTCAACACAAAATGTGACTTGATGGCTTGAGATGGTGAAGATAGCAAGGAAAGGCTTCGAAGTACTAAGCAAGGGTGAAGGGCAAGCGATGGCTTGGCGGCTGAAGAACCTAGCTAGGGTGAAGAAGGAAGTATTTGCATTTAGTTGAAGTACTAATCAAGCTATGATAGTCATGTCAATGTGAAGGATCAAATCACTATTGGAGTGTTTGATGGAAGTGACTTGATACATTTGGGATTATTCAAATTTGATGAATGGAATCAAGTCACGTGCTCAAGATGGCTATGCTCAAGTGAAAAGATCAATATCAACATGTTGGCACCCTCACTTGATGAAGAGTGGAATACACGGCTTCGGTTGAAAGAGATCAACTTAAAAGGTTTAAATTCATTATACTCTTTATAATTGAGTTAATAGGAATGTCGTACTATTAAGAGGGATGCATCATGTTGATAGATAATGTTTCATAAGTGCTCAAGCCAACCCATGTGAGTTTTGAGTGTTTGAGAGATAAAAGAGCTAACTTTTGTTTTGCTGGTCTGGCAGATACTGGACGTGTCCGGTATGTGCCAAGCCACGATAAAATTCTTATTGTTCTCGGGTGGGTTCGTCGGGAGTTCCGACGTGAGTCGGAAGTTTCGACGGTCGGGAGTTCCGACGTTTTGCGCTTAACTGACTTAGAGGGTTCACTGTCCTGGTCATACCGGACGTGTCCGGTATGGACGACCAGAGGTCAACGGCTAGTTTTCAAAATGCTTTGAGGGTCGGGAGTTCCGACGTGAGTCGGGAGTTCGACGGTCGGGCATGTGTCGGGAGTTTCGACACCTCACAAACTTCAACTCAGTTACTTAGTTTTCAAATATGCTGAGGGTCGGGAGTTCCGACGGTCGGAAGTTTCGGCATTCATCGGGAGTTTCGACGCCTCACAACATCACTGTAACTTAGTTACCGTTGGGGCAGTGTAAGTCATACCGGACGTGTCCGGTATGCATACCGGACGTATGACAACGGCTAGTTTTTCCAAGGGGCTATAAGTACCCCCAAGCCTCCACCTTTGGAGGCTGCTGATTCTGCTGATATACACACACGTTTTTTAGCCTTGCTAACTCTCCCAACCCTCTCTTAGTGAGTGATTGATTAAATTTGCCAAATCAAATTGTGGGTTGAGTAAAATTCAAAAAGAGAGAAATCCAACCACTTGAGCACTTGTGCATGTTGTCAATCTCATGATCTGTATTTGTTACTCTTGGACTCTTTGGTTCTAGACGGCTAGGCGTCGCTAGAGAGCACCCGAGAGATTGTGGTGTGTCTCGGAAAGTTTGTAACGGTCGATTCCGCCGCCTCGGAATCAACTAGTGGAAGGAGGAAAAGGAGTTGAAAAAGACTTCGGCTAGAGTGACCTTCGTGGTACCCTCTAGGGCTGACCTTTGCTGGGTCGCTTATAGCCCCCTCAACGGAGAGTAGGACTTGAACAAGTCCAAACTTCGATAAAACAAACATCGTGTCTCAATTCGTATTTTATTTGATATTTGTGTTGCTCCAGCTCTTGTGTAGATTCTTTGTATATATTGTCATCTCTAGTAGATGCCTGCAGTTTGGTTTGAAGATAGAAATCGAAAGGAGCAAGTTTAGGGCTGATCTATAGAAATCGTGTATACCGGACACGTCCGGTATTCATACCGGACACGTCCGGTATTAGAGCTCAGGGCTGAATATTATTTGATTTCTGTTCTAACTTTGTGTTGCAGGGTTATAGCTTCTAGATATATTCTTTATACCTTGTTTACTCTGTGGCTAACTTGTGAGGGGTGGTATTACTCATAATTTGGAGTTTTTATTTTGGAAACTCCCTTTTCTAATTGTTTCCGCATTTAAAGGTGTTAATTTTTAGAAACGCCTATTCACCCCCCCCCTCTTGACGGTATCCTAGGTCCTTTTAATTGGTATCAGAGCAAGGTTCTCACCTAAAGCTTCACTGCCATGAGAAAAGGATATCGACGCCTATCGAGTTGGAGCCTATGCTTCTCCAAAATGATGGTTCAAACTTTCTACCTTGGTCAATACATGTGCTCAATGCTTTTAGAGATATTAGTCCTCTTGTTGAGCATATTGTGGATGCAAGCATACCTCTTTCTATAGTTGATTGGAGCAACTACAAAAATTTGTCAAAAGAGGAAGAGATATGCGTGCAACTCAATTCTCAAGCTATTAATATTATTTTGAGTACATTGAGTGCAGAGGTTCAAGATGAGGCAATCTTCAATGGATAACCACCTCCGGAGAGTGCTCATCTCATTTGGACTAGACTTTTTGATTTATATGGAAAATCCAAATGTAATGATGCACTTGAGATCAAGTCAATGGAAAGTATGTCCATTGTGTCTTCATGCAGCGAAGAAGCCTCACAAGACCTCAAGAGCACTGAGCCGGAGCAAGAAGTGTAAGCAGCGCATGACTTGCTGTCTGCCTGCACATACCGAACGTGCCTACCGAACGTGTCCGGTATGGCCGAGGCAACAGAGCAGCAAGCAGTTGTTTGCAACGATGCTCAAGCCCGGTGGCGACCAAGTGATGAGTCAACCTCAGTATTTCATGATACTCATCACTTGTGTCTCATGGCCAAGAAAAGCAAGAAGAAGAGTAATAAGAAAGATCAAGAGAAGGAGAAAGCACAAGTGGATGATCAAGATAAGAGTGATGTTGAAGTTGAAGACAACTACAACCTTGATCATCTCAACCGCAAGGACAAATTCATCATCATGAAGATAGTTGAAAAGAATGATGAGCTTGAAGAAAAGATTGAGAAGCAAGAGCAATCACTTCAAAAGCAAGAATTGTTTCTCATCTCTAAGATGGAAGAACTAAAGGCTGTAAGTGAAAGGTATGAAAAATTGTCAATTGAGCATGCTTTAGTTACTAACTCCTCTTCTAGTGTTTCACAACTAGAGAAGGAAAACTTTGAGCTCAAGGCAAGGCTAGATGAACTATCAAGCAAGTATAATGTGTTACAAGCAAACTATGTTCATCTAAAGTGCTCTCATGATGAAGTAGTAGAATCAAGCATCATGCTTGAGGTGGCTCATGAGGTTGTGATCACATCAGTAAAATTTTCTCAACCTCTCACACATTCACTCACTAGTACACCATCTCAATTAAATATTTTTTGTACTAATGAATGTGCTCCTCAAGCAAGCCAATCTTTGATTGAGCTAAATCTCATAGAAAACATAGAGCTCAAAGAAGAGGTGAAGAGATTAAAGAAAGATGTGATTCGGTTGAAGGGTAAGGAGAAAGCACAACCTTCTCAAGATAACCGTGATAACATGGTGAAGAAGCTTGAGAAGGATTCAAACCTTGCTTCCTCCAAAACCCAACAAAAGAATCACATTTCAAGTAAGGCCAACACAACCAAGAGCAAGAAACATGGAAAAAAGTTATGTTATGATTGTGGATTATAT